ATGTCCCCCATTTTGACTACAGTGCTTATAACCCTCCCAGTCTAGGCAGTGTTCCGGATACAGGCTTTAAAGAGGGAGATCAGATCAAAAGGGCAGCTTACAACACGGTCATTGTACAAAGTGTTGCCCCGTAAACCTGAGAAGTGGGTGGCTATGAATGCTTGTATAATTGTTTACCCATCAATTTTCTGACTGTAGTTTGTAAATAACATAGGCCTTTTTTGTCCAACCAGGTGTACTGTACATATGCCGCCATGTGTATGTTCATGCTTCTGTTGAAGTTTTATCATGAAGTTTTATTTTTATACAAGTATTTAATCAATGTTGTGTGTTCCTTGGTGACCCTAGATGAAGTCAAGTTGGATTATTTTATCATTTGTTTTTTGGGGAATGTTGTCTCATGTGCACACATTTCAGCACCTTTTCTATAAATACAATTCCACTTGAAAACATTGCCTTTCACATGTTTGTTGAACACTGTAACTACACATTTTTATTATGTTTTGTTTAACTTGAACTTCCTACTGGTCTGTTAAGGGACCATGCACTTGTGCTTGCTAAAGCTTTGCTAGGCTAATAAAATAAAACCTGGTTAGGCAAATTTGTATTAAAGCATTTTATTGAAAATACTATTTACAACAAAACAAATGTGGTCTATAAGTTGACCATGAAAACAATGAGAATATTGCTCCCTTAACCATTTTGCAACATCTCTCAATCTACAAGGCATCCTGTAACATGGTAGGGCCATGTGAAGCTTGACTGGGCTAGTTGAATGATTACCCAATTGCTGTTAGAAGGAAATTAAACTTCATTGCTCCTGCATTAAAACTGCAGGTATGTTTCATCACTGGGTAAACATTGTATAGCTTGGAGATATTAATGCAACCTAAACTACATTCAAAGATTGTATGGGTCCTATTCAACATTAAATTGCATGTATTCCCTTTTTCACAATACCGGTTTTTCAAAGTCAGATCCTGTTATCACAGAAGCTAAACAGGGCCGGGCCTGGTTAGTACTTGGATGGGAGCCCACTGAGAATATCAGGTGCCACAATGGGGCACCAGTGGCAAAAAAAACTCGTGTCCTTAGGCAAGACACCTCACCCACATCACCTAGTGTGCTGGTAGTAGTCAGAGGGGCTGATGGTGGAAATTGGCAGCCTAGTCTGCCCTAAGGCAGCTGTGACTACAACAGGAGCTTACTACCACCGAATGTGGAGTGAATGAATATGCCTAGAAAGCGCTTTGGGTGTCAAGTCCAATGATCAATCAATAATTAATGCTTACTAATATTAATTTGTACCTATTCATAGATCAAGTTTTCCCTTTACAATAAAAGGCCCCGAATCTGCAATATTTTAAAGTGTGCATTTGGCTGTCAGATTGAAAGAGCAGAACACAGATTGTCCATGTGGGATATTACATGTAACTGCACATTTTAGTCCATTTTGAGGCTACGATAAATGTATCTGATAAAGGCCAACGAAGCCCAAAACGACACACTACCAAGCATTAGAGAGAAGACCATTGCTGTGAGTAGAGAGTAACCAAAAAACTCTGTACTTTGAACTGGACCACTCATGGACGAGCGATTTCTGTAGTAAAAAACAGAGTAAACAAAAATAAAAATGCCAGTAGATCCGGTATTGAGGACGCTTCGCCACCACCAACGGTAGTCCTCGCCAGATAACAGGAAGTAAGTGAGAGCCACAGAAATGCAAGCACCAACGGAGATGAGGATGGCAAAAACACATAGCAGGATGCCATACAATGTGTAGTGCTCTCGGCCCCAGACTGTGGCGAAGATGTAGTACAGCTCCACAGAGATGGCACTAGAGGAAAAAGACGGGAAATTAGAGTGTGCTATGTAGGTAGGCCTGGGGAATATGCCAAAAAAAATGTCAAATATTGATCAGTCACGATTTTTGATTACATTTTATTTTGTCTTAGTGAATACAAATAAAAATGGCTCCAACATATTTATTTCCTGATCACAAAAAATACTATGTTAGGACTATAATTTATCATTTTGACAGTATAGACGAAATCGTTCAAAATAATCTTGATTTCAATTATGAGTCAAATTGTTGTGATTATAATTTTTGCTGTAATCGAACAGCCTTAATATTGATCTAGTCTCAATTTGAAATACTTTTGGGGTTGCCAGATTCAACTGCTCAAAGCTATTTTTGTAGTATCCTCATGGCAAAGATGCAGTGACATCACGCTGGGGGTGAGCTACTTAAATATCTACTGGTGGAATGTTCAGCAGTTACCATGGTGACAGAATGCACACTTTAGCAAGCACAGATAAAGTACAAAATGGATTTAAACAACATATCTTCAGAAGCCTGTGATTAATACAAGAGTTCATGATTCTTTCTGGTCAGATTGTGTTAAAATAAAGCTCAGATTAAGTCTAATTTGATTAACAGAGCTTCTAACACAGTAGTACTTTCAGTTAGCTTCACACTCACACATAATTACTTTAAAGCACACATCAGGTACTTTGTTTTCCACACTGGATCTTACCTGAAAGGCAGAAACCCTCCGATGGCCATGTGCACCGCTGCGTGTTTGTACCAGGGCTGTGTGGGGATCTGTCGGGGGATGTTGCGAGTTCGACAAGGCGCCTGAAAGTTTCCCGCCCGATTCTTTCCCACGATTCCTCCAATCACAGTGAGAGGAAAGCCCACCAGCACCCAGGCCCCGAGCAGCAGCAGCACCGTGGTGGCTGGAAGCGCCTGGGTGGAGCCGGACCACCAGTGAACAGAGTTAACCACACTCCAAGTCAAGAATAGAGGGGCTGTGGAGAGAAAAGACATGAGGAATGTGAACTTAAATGTAGCTGGTAGTAGTATTTCTGTAAGACATGAAAACTACCATTAACAATTTTTCACATGAGCTCCATTTCCAGCTCTGATAATTTGCTGAATGTTTCTCCCAGATAAGGAAAAGTGTAGAGAAAATGAAAGATCTTCGTATATTACACAAAATTGACTTGCCATGTTAGAATATTACTTCATCAAAAACATACTAGAACATACTGTACCTCATTCACACATGTTTGAGTAATCCTTTATTATTAGCCAGACTACTCTCCAAAGCTCAAAATACTCTGTTCCACCTTGTGATTTCATGAGGTGGTAATTTTCAAGTTGACAGCTCCATATTACCTTTATTTCAGTAGAAATAGGCAATTCCAGGTCTAAAATTATCCAAAATATTCTAGTGAAGCTGTGTGGATTTTAAAAACACAGTGGATCACTTCCTGTCTTACCTTATGACAAGGTGAAACATAGCAGTCTGAGAGAAGAACTCTGCCTAAACCTAAATAACTCACGTACCATAATATAATATAATAATATAATTTACACATTTCATTGCTTGTTATTGGTGTTGTATTTCTTAGCAGGTCATCTTTGTGAACTCACCAGAGAAGAGAGACGATGTGAGGATGATGTTCCAGACCCAGCGCTGTCCGTTGATCTGAGTGTAGAAGCTGCAGGAGACGTATCCCGACACACAGCTGGTGAGAGCGTACAAGGCGATGGCTGCTGAGTTTATGGCGCCATGACGATGAACGTTAAACATCCCCAGTAATGCCATCAAAATGATTCCTATAGATACAAACAATTAACCATCATGACATGCCATGGGAGCCAAAGTATTGAGTTCCATTCAAAACAAAGCATTTCCCAAAGAGTTCTACATCAAGTGACTGGAAAATGGTAGAAAGAACTTTATTTTAAAATCATCACATACATGTTCAATATGGTATAATTTTCTCAGGGCTCTTACTCTGTACAAAATATTGCATCAGTCTCTTCTTGAAACAAACCAACACTTATAAATCAAATAATTTCCAGAGTTTCGGGCAAATTCCTTCTTCATTTAAAGGACCTTTTAAATATTTTTATGTAATTGTTATGGCAACAGAGAACTAGCATAAAACCCATGAATACATTTTTTTCCCACCCACGGTTTTCACAGAGTTACTACTACAATTTCATTTAAATGCATTGTGCAGCAGTAATTGATATGGTTTTAGTTTGGATATTTTTTACATCCTATTTCTGAAATGAAATGTGTCTTTTCTTGAACTAACACTGAAAATAGCACTCACCAGTGGCAAGGGTGAGGAACTGTGCCCCCACTCCCAGTATGGCACACAGCAGACTTTTATACGGAGGAAACCTGAACACATCAGTATGAATGATCTTCCAGCCATTGTCACCCTGATCCAAATCATCACAGCTCCCCTCCTCTTCTACATTATATCTGTAAAAACAAACAAGCAAGTCTTATAATTACACTGCCATGTATCTGTAGAGTAAATCCAATCAAAAAACAGACATTGTTTCAAATAAAGAGTGACTGCAGATTCAAGAAGAGAGAAGCCAGTGTTTACTTTGAAGTGTACCCAAAGTGTAAGGTTTCTCAAGTTTCTTTCACGAACATTTTTAGCTGTAAGCCCATGGTGGAATTGTTGTCTGGATCCTTTAAACAGTGGATTGTATCAGTAAAAAGTACCTGATCTAACACTTTCTTTGTATTAAACCATAGTAGATAGTTTCATTATGTATAGATATTCTTTTAAATGTGTAATATGTTATTTTTCTGGTGGAGGGTCCATCACATGTTCCACAGTATGGCATTAAGGTTATCTATTTTCATGGTGACAAGTAAACTTGGCAACATCTCAAGTAAAATCTGGGGAGAGGTGACTCTATTAAAAGTAAGAAATTCATGTTTTGTAAGGTACATTTGAGCAATAAAAACAACTATAATTGAATAAATGCAGCATGGCTACGTTTAATGCCATATTATGGAATATTAGGTAAAGCAATATCATCTCTGCAAAGCATGCAGCGAACCCTGTACCAGAAGTTACACAGTGCACATTAAACTGAATATAGTTCTGATCAATTACACAGCAGAAAATGTTTTTGTTGACTCACCTGGCAAAGTCATTCTTGAGGACTCTCATGAGAATAATGATCACAAATCCAAGCAGCAGCACCACCAGCACCAGGGAGTTAATGATGGACAACCAATGGATCTCTAAAGTTTTGGGAAAGAAGGAGTAGTCCCTGAAACGCTCCCCGCGGCGTGAATGAGGCAGAGGGGACTCGAACCAGTGCACACTGTAGGTATGGGTGACAGTCAGGCCTCCTCCACCCAACCCCACCCCACCCACTCCAGTACCAGTGCCTTCCTCTAGGGGGACAGGTTTAACATCTTTGACAGAGACATTGGCAAAGATGATACTGTCACCATTGTACTCGATGTTGAAATCAAGATGAGTCCACAAAACAACCTGTAAGAAGAACACATCATTTGATTCAGCAAGAGAAAAAATTGTTGCCCCATTGCTTTTTTTTACATTACTGAAATGTTTTAACATACTGTTTTGAAACAATAAGTAAAGGGCCCAATTTAGGAGTCAAAATTAGTCAAAACATTAATGAAATCTAACTTTTTAACATATAAAGTTGCAACTAAAAACAGTAAATGCGTGTAAAAAAAAAAAAAAAAAGAACATTACCATGGCTATTGCTATAATAATATATTTGCTTTGCATTAAGCAGCCATAAGAAAGGGCTGGTTTACAAGTTTACTGCAACAGGAACTTCATAGAGATAATCAGTTGCACATCCGCCACAAAGTGTAAATAAAGTATTTTCAGTATTTCCTGTTTTACATCACCGTATATTTACCTTGTGGCTATGAGGCAAGAAGCCACTCTCCTCCAAGTATCCCACAAATCCCCAGATGGGAATGTCATCGAGAACAAATTCAAAGTAGTACAACTCTTCAATGGCCTCACGCAGCTGGTCCACCTTAAAAACAAATAATTTATTCATAATGAAATAAAAGTTACAATGTAAACACAAGACACAAGGCCAGTCATTATGTGCAATGACAGGTGAAATGGGCTCTATTGTGTCTTTCTCTTGTGGCTGTCTGTTATTAAGATGAATAGTGTATTTTATTTATCAAGTTGAAAAAATTGGGTTTTGCCAAATTGTGATGGCAACTGGGTTAAACTAAGTCAAACAAAAATAGTACAAGAGTTTATAGTTAATGCAATAGACAGGTTGGCATTAGTAAATCTAAAATTGTTCTTTCTTTAGTGTGTGGTTCAAATTTGCACCCATACCATGCCAAAATTGGGACAGCTGGGGAAAACAGGGACTTAACCCTGATCTAAACCTGAATTAGACTAGGACCAGAACAGGACCAAACCAAGTCTGTATTTACAATTGTACAAACAGTATATTAAAATTTGGACTAAATCAAAGCTAGGCTGTAGACTGTGACTAAATCTGGACTAGTACATGCCCAAACCAAATCTACAACCAAATCTAAACCAGGTCTCAACCAGCTAGAGTGGACACTCTCTCAAAATGATCACACACAAAATTGCACTTAATCAGGTAATTCTCTTAATGTATTTGTACCTGATTTAAACAGTTTCTTACTAGCTATGTAAAATCCCATTGTGCTATGTCATTATTGCAATTAGAGCAGGGTGCAGTAGAATATGATGTACCTGCTGTTCAGAGAGAGTGAGCTGACAAAGCATTTTTTTCTCCACATTCTCCCTGAACTGGATATGATACAGTGACTCCGCCATCCGGTCTCCATCCAACACCTCTCCCAGACTCAGCGACTTGTGATGCACCTGGCAAAGTGACAAACATTATAAAGCCATACATTACAAAACAGAACAAGGAAGAAAATAAAAACACTAAATGTTCCTAAATGTGTGGTAATAACATATGCTTTCTAACTCCTAACTTAACATTCCTAAACTCAGAGCTAGTCAACAGGCTAACAACTAACTGGGTGTAACCAAAGTTAGCACCATGACAAAACCTGTGGGATACAATAGAAATAAATATAGAATAAATGAAGACTAAGACTCTTTTTCTACTTGCATACACACCTCAACACACACACATCACGTCTAAACTGGGCTCAAATCAGAAGCAAACTAGGAAATGTATGAGCACCACCAAAATAAACTTTTGTATACGTACCACATTTTGAGAATCACTATTGTACAGTGAATTACCTTTTCTGATTAGACCCCATTCACTTTCACTGTATTGCAGCTGTGTACTGCATTAATGAGCATCAAAGTCAAGAGAAAACTGACCTTTTCCGGCCTGCACACGGGCAGAGTGTAGTAATGATATGTCTCCTGGGGGTTATGATAAGGCCCCACTTTGTTGACATAGAGAGTCACATTGTCCCCTTGTTTGTAGCCTGCTGCCCAGCCTGAGAAACAGCACAGGATCAAAACACAGTGTAGCTCCATGGTCCTCCAGAAGTACCTGTGTCCTGCTCCACACAGCATTATCCCTGTGACAGAGACAAACAAAGTGTTATTCATTTAAAACTGGAAGAACCAGCTTTAGTTATTCTTTATAAGAGGTGTTAATATGACATTTTCAAGTAATTACCAAAATATATCTGAGGTGAGCAATACATTCTCAAGATACAAGGTGAAATTGTTGTTTGGGGAAGAAAGACAAAATTCTAAAAAAGGGTAAAAATATGATGCCAGAGGCTACACAAATGAGCTGAAACAAATTACAGATTACACAGATACTGGCCAATTATTACAAAAAATGTAAATTAAGTTTAGAAGTTTTTTTTTTAAACACATTCTAATTTTATTGGTATCACTCCTATAGTTTTTAATGGGATATACCTAAATCAATAAAATGCACTTTGTGTCCTACTCTGACTTCACCAACTGATGCACTTAAGACAAATAAAAGTTAAACATTTTACTGTTTGCTGTATTCAAATAGAAGAATATGATACTTTTAAGCATGCATGAATTTTATATTTACTGTACAGATTAATTACATTAACAGACAAGGAATAAAACCCACTCTAGGCATTTTCATTGAGATAAAATAAATGTACAAGCAATGACAAGATGTAATAATAATGATGCTCTATCTGATATGTAGCATCATTTAGTTGAAATCAGTGGTTCTGAAAGTGGGGTCCCGGAGATCCCTGGGGATCCTTGGAACATGTGTTGAGGGTCCTCCAAAAATTATGACGACACTAATCATTACTTACGTACCACTGTTCTTTATGATCTCCAATGCCAAACATACTGTACTAATAGAATAAGGACTATCAGGAAAAGACCTTCCATTCATCCAAATTGGTTTTATACATGGTTTAAACTAAATTTATTTGTGATGCTATTGTGGAGACGATAGGGCGTCCTTGAGATATTTTCACACCGATAAGGGGTCCCTGATTTCAAAAACTTTCAGAAATCCTGGTATAATTATCAACACAGACAGGAAGTAAGCAGAAGATACCTCAACCCCAAGTATCTAACCATATCATTTCAAGTGTGGAAATCATCATATATTTTCATTTTACACCCAATGAAATGCTGTTATACCAGTATGTCAGCAGTTTGTTGGTTGTGTTTTGATGTTGCAGACCCAATCCAACCAGCCTGACCGCTCCTCCAGTCTCCAGGCCCCGCACCGACTACTGCTCCTGACTCCGACCTGACAATGGAGCTCAGTGCACGGTTTCACAGCTGAACATCTTCACGGCAGCGTTAGAAGCAAGGCACCAAGATACTGTCCAGCAATTACATCCGAGATAAACCAAGCAGTCCCGATGTCCTAGGCTATTTCTGGTTACAAGGCGCTCCACGTCACCTTAAAAATAAAAATTACGACGACGAGATTGAAATTTCCGGAGGATGGAGAGATCGCAAACCTTACGCGTTGTTCATAAACATCTCGTTTCTTTATTCATGTTCTGGAAATTATAATGCCGTGTTTTAAATTACTGTTTATAAGATCCAACATCTGGAAGGAGTGAAAAGCTGCCCGAAAAACTACCCTTTTTGCTGTGAGGGGGACCGGATTTCCTTCTATGGGACAGAGCCAATCAAATGGCTTGTTATGTTTCCGGGTTGAAACCGAGACCATTGTAATCGAGTATACGTCATCGATTGAAGACACATTTTGTACAATATTTACCTTTTTAGACCTTATATTATTTTGTAGTGTATTTATTTTGGTACAGAACATTTATAAGTTTCGCTTTAAATTGTATAAAATGCTTGTTAACCACATAATCTAAGTTAAAAGCAGAATTATTTTGAAGCGAAAGCTTGCCATCTCCACCTTTAAAGCATCTCTGACTCAATTTGATTTTTTTTTTTTTTGTCCGTAAAACCGAAAGTTCGCATTGTCTTTCATCACATTATATCATATATACATACACGTCTCAAAACTGTTAAGATTAATTTGTAAATGGTTCAATGTGGCAACTTGAATACTTGTACACGCTTTCTTCAGCAGCGTCGCGGAAAACAAGCAGATAACAACCAATCACAGCCCAGCAAGATATTTTTAGCCAATCAACATCACGGAAAGTCAACGTGCCAAAACCATTCATCCAATCAACGTCCGTCTTTAGTTAGATCGGCACATCTACCGATAATGCCTGGTCCTGTGTTTCCCGCGAAAGTCTTGCACAGGGAAGCAGACGTGTGGGCTGTTGCTGTATACTGCTGCATTTCAAGGTAGTTTATATGCTTTTTGCACGGCTACTCTATTCGATTTCATTGCTATTTGTATTATATAAGGCTATGGACTTTTATTGTCCAGTATTTGAGATGCTAGGTGGGTTGTAGCCTTTACTAACTTGGCATTATAGTCTGTTGCGTTGTCTTCAGCTGCACGTTTTCTTGCATTATTATCATTTTACTAACTTACTTCACAAGATTGACAGGATGGTTTATGAAAATTTTAACTGTAAATTTAGTCTCTTCGTCTCTCTGGACTATTTATGTTTCAGATTTGCCAATTCTAGGAACCTATAGCCTAACAAAATGGGAATACATGGACTAGCTAAACTCATAGCTGATCAAGCGCCTGGTGCCATCAAAGAACAGGACATCAAGAGCTACTTTGGTAATGTTTTCCCTTGGTATCTGTTATTTTAACTCCCACATAGCTTTGGTTACTAACTGTTACGATGTATTTGTTTCTAACAGGTAGAAAAATAGCTATTGATGCTTCTATGTGCATTTACCAGTTTTTAATTGCTGTGCGTCAAGATGGAAATGTGCTACAAAATGAGGATGGAGAGACAACAAGGTGAGTTTATTTACATATAATTTCATGCTAAAATTTGTTGGCACTGTTAAAGGTCTTATATTACACAAAACTGACTTCTGTGAGCTTTAAGCCATGTTATAATGTTGTTCCCTCACCAAAACATACCTGGAGTTGTGTATTGTTTCATTCAGTAACCCTTTATTATTATTCTCTCTACATCTCCAAAGCTCAAAATGCTCTGTTCAAATTTGCGATGTCATGAAGCAGTAGGTTTCATGTCAACAGCTACATTTTCCCTTTTAGTTGAGATGAGCAATGCTTTTGATGAGGAAACATCATCATTATAATATATATCAGAAAATTGGCCCTTATAATTATTGTCCCATTATAAATCAACCATTTGTACCACAAATTAATATACCTGTGTGTATAAAATACTTATAAACAATGACTTTTTTATTTGACCAACTCTACTTGTAATTATTGCTAAATATTTTTGTCTATTTCAGTCATCTCATGGGAATGTTTTATCGTACCATTCGAATGCTAGAACATGGGATCAAACCCGTTTATGTGTTTGACGGCAAGCCCCCTCAGCTTAAATCACAAGAGGTCAGTAAAATAGTTTATATCTGCATTAAGTTATCCATCTACTTTAGACTTTATTTAATTTGTGTTTGTCTTTAGCTGTCGAAGAGAGGTGAGAGGAGGGCTGAAGCTGAAAAGCTGCTAGCACAAGCCCAGGAGGCAGGAGAACAAGAAAATATTGACAAATTCACCAAACGTTTAGTCAAAGTCACCAAGCAGCACAATGATGAGTGCAAGCAACTGCTAACCCTAATGGGAGTGCCTTACATTGAGGTAGGAATGGAATTAATCTCTATTATGATTTTAAAATGAAAACTCATTTTGGTAATTTGTGTTGATCATACTGATTCTGTATGCAGGCTCCTTGTGAAGCAGAAGCCAGTTGTGCAGCCCTGGTTAAAGCTGGGAAAGTTTTTGCCACAGCAACTGAAGATATGGACGGACTCACCTTTGGCACAAATGTCCTCTTGAGGCACCTCACAGCCAGCGAAGCAAAGTGAGGTTTTTACATAATTATTGTTTGTATGTTATATCTTAATCATCCACCTTCTATGAGCCAGCTTGCATAAATTAATGAAAACATGTGGAACCAGCAGGAATTATCTCTCATTAAATAGTAAAGTTATTTTGTTATTTCTTGCATTTAATGATTTCAGTCAAATATTACATAGAACTTATTCTTGGCCATAAAAAACCTTAAAGGGGAAGCTACTTGGTTTCAATAGCTCAAAAATGAAATGTAAAAGCATTTTTATAACTAAGAGCATATGAAAATATGAATTTTAATTGATTTTCAGAAATGCTCAAGTTAAATAGTAAAGTAACAGTATAATATAAGGGTTTGGCAATGAAAGTACAGTGCCAAAATGAATACATTGAAAATAATTTAATGATGATTTAACTACTATTGATTAACTATGCTAATCTTACATATTTGCAATCTCAGGAAACTGCCAATCCAGGAATTTCACTTCAGCAAAATGCTTCAAGACATTGGCCTGACAAATGAACAGGTAAACTCCAAACAGCATCACTCCTTTTTAGCCTTTTAAAACATTCCTGTGTTGTTTTATTGTTGAATTTTGACTTTTTCCCATTATAATCTTTTGTAAATTTCAGTTTATAGACCTGTGTATTCTTCTTGGCTGCGACTACTGCGGGACCATTAAAGGGATTGGGCCTAAAAGAGCCATTGACCTCATCAAAACACATGGAAGTATTGAAGAGATCCTGGAGAACATAGATCCCAATGTAAATGCTATTACTGATTCTTGTGTTTATATTTGAATAGAGTTTATAATTTCTGTTCTTTTAATGTCTGTCTTTCCTTTGCCTGGTAGAAACACCCAGCTCCAGAGGACTGGCTGTACAAAGAGGCCAGGGCCTTGTTTCTGGAGCCTGAAGTGGTGGATTGTTCAACAGTTGACCTGAAGTGGAGCGAACCAGATGAAGAGGGACTCATTCAGTTCATGTGCAACGAAAAACAATTTAGGTAAATTTCTGGCCTCAATTTTTTCTTAGATTTTAGACTGTTTTAAGAATTAACTACATGGACAAGTTACTTTAATTGCAAAGTTTGTTGTTTGTAGCTTCTTAAATTTTATGAAGGTAGGTTAAAGCGAGTGCTACTCATCTATTGTTCCTAAGCTAGAGGCAAATGACATTAAAGAAATTACAATTATAACATCGAATAGGAAGTAATTTTCCTCGAACTAAAAGAGGATTTGATAGTTGTATGTTCTCTAATAATTAGTGGAAAACAGAGCAATGCTGGCTTCCTTTTGAGTAACATTTCAAATTGTCCAAATGCAGAATCTTGTTGTTATAGCTTTGATGACCACTAGGGTGCACTATTGAGTTGCTATGTATATAAAACATCCATCATATTACCCTCAATATAAAGCAACCAAGTAAGCAAGAAATTGAATAGTAATTGCTTCAGTAGGGCCAAACCCAAATCTATCCAAAGAAAAAGTGATATAGATTGTACTTTAGCTAGTGTCAGACGTTTTGCGTAACAGTGAACCACTAATATAATATGAACTTTATTTCTTAGTGAAGACAGAATCCGCAATGGCTTTAAGAAGATTATGAAAAGCAGACAGGGCAGCACCCAAGGGCGACTGGACTCTTTCTTCACTGTCACTGGATCTCTCTCCTCAAAACGAAAGGTGAACTTGTGTCTGATTTTGGGATTTCTGGTCCCCTGCTAACCCAAACTACACTATAACGTGACTTTCAGACTAACCAAACTCTATATTTAAATTTTGTTTTGTTTTTTTTCTTTAGGAACCTGAGACAAAAGCCCCTGCCAAAAAGAAGCTGAAGACCGCTAATGGCACACCTGGAAAATTTCGAAAGGGAAAATAAATTCCTAAATGCCTAATAATTTGGGTCAGATTTTGCAAAATAAATAACTGTAATAACATTTTAGAATTGGCTTTGGAATTCTGCGGTAAATATTTCACCCTATGTATCTGTAAAATAATGTCTGTTAGTTTTAATCTCTAGTTTTATTTTTGTTTTCAGTTATCAAATAAAAGTTTCACTTTTTTTTTTTTTATAACGTGTGTCTCTGTTCGTCTGTTGTAGACCTGATCTGAACCCTTTACTGGTCATATGGTTTGAGAATGACTCATTTACAGTATTTAGTGACCAAATGAAAGATAGTGAAACAAGTAGGGGTTGTGGTTCTCCTTTGAAGGGTAAGCAGAGAAAGAGAGAATGTATCTTAACATGCTGCTGTACATTTCTAATGATAAGGGAAACTGCAGCTTTAAATGTTTAATAAATAAATAGACACAATTTTATTTGGACATATCCAACAACAGACTTTTTTGCTTAATTGATAATCTGTGGTTCAGAATGAGAAATTTAGATAGCTGCCATTGTATTTGTAATGATTTACAAATAAAAATATGAATAGTCTAAAGTGCTAAAATTGCATCTATAACAAAAATGTCACATAATTGAAATCCATGAATGTCCATTTCTGTAGTATTTAAAATCATTTTGAGATTTAAAAAAAAGAAGTATTTATTATGAACAAGATGGGGCCCACCAGTGCCACCATAGAGTATTTGCTATGACCTATGAAAAGAACAAAAAATAAAATTGGAATTACTGAGAGGATCAGGTTGTGTTAGATGGTTTAGAGATGGAAGTCTGACTCTAAATGTGTATGAGGAAATGCAGTGTGTTCATACTAAAGGAGCATTGTGTAACCTTTTCTGGGGGAGGGTCTGTCAAATGTTTTTCTCCATGGAGATGTTATTATTTTGTCTGGAATTTTTCACAGTATGGCATTACACCTTTTTATCTACCACCAGGTCTTCACCAGTTACAGGTCAGATCTGTGGAGACTGGAGAGGCGACCCCACTCACAGTCAGAATGTCTGTTTTTCTAGGTATTTGTGAGCTATAAAACAACCTGTAATTTAATAAATGTAAGATAGAGCTGTTTAATGTCTTACTGTGGAACATCTCAGGCAAAGTAAAGACATAACTATAGAAACAAGCTGATAACGGACCCCCAGCCCAAAAGTTACACAGTGCACCTTTAAAAAACCTGTGCCTCAGATTTTCATTCCTTTTTCCAGTAAATGTATAGGTTCCTCGGTCAAAGAAAACTAAGATTTTTGAAGAACTATATATAGAATTTGTAACAGTTAGATGCAAATGGTTTTCTGCTGAAAAGGTTCACTGGAGTAACACCTGTAGTGTTAAATTTTGCATTTGCATTTTTCCTTATCTGATTTACAGTCCAGTCAGCTCCAGGTTTGCATTTTCAACAGAGGAACAAACAGACACAGGCTATGTAAGTTTGCGATTCTTTCTGATATTATTAAATCAAAATGAGTCTATAGTTTATATTTTATGTATATTTAAAATTTTATAAGACTTGGAGGGGTGGTGAAACTGAATTATGCAAACTGGGTCTACTGGGTCAAATTAAATTCTAAATCAAAAATACACTACCAAACTGTCATTTTCTATTTCACTATTTCCTCTCAAAAACAGTTAAGTGTTAAACATTTATTGAGGGTTTACCTTTGAAATTGTTTATTGAAGTCAAAAGCACGGTTTATCCATCATGTATTTACTTCTACATCTGTGAACTTGCAAAAAAGAGGAAATTTCATAGAAGATATGCTAAATATGACTATAACATATTATTTCACATATATGCATTTCTTTGGAAATAGTAACCTGCATTTTTTTATATGTAAAGAAATGTCAATTGTAGGCCTATATCCTATAATTATTTGTACAGACTGAGTAATTACACAGGCGGATTACCACACCTTACTTTAAAAGCCCTCAGACAGTTTTGAAATGCAGACAAATTAGAGATTATGTATTTGGTGGTCGGGCATTTTTTGTATTAGTTTGACAGGCAGCTTCTTCAAACAGTTTAAGGTATAGTGACCAGTTTATTATAAAGTTGCAAATATAAATACTTACCACCATCCTAATGAAAACAAATAAAGAATCAGTCACGTCATAATATTTTGAAAATATTCTGTGAAATGTAGTTCCTGATTTGAATGTCATTAGATTAGAGTAACTCATTACTCAGACATTTCAAACTAATTTTATTCAACAACAATCAGCAATGTATCTATGAAATTGACCATTCAGCAATACACTGAATCTCTTATTATTCATTGCGTGTGTATGTGTTTGTTTGTGTGTGGACTAAAATTTGTATACACTCACATTGTGGGCGCCTGACTTCCTCAGAGGGACAACAATCTGCTTCTGATAATTTTAATCCTTTATTATTAGATCAACAACATGATTTAATGTTCAGGTTTGGGTTAAAAGTGGTTAGTGTTTAGGTTAGGGTTAGGAAGAGCACTATGGTTAAGGTTAGGATCGGTCTCCTGAAATTAATATAAATCAATGAAATATACCCCAAAAGCCTGGAAAACCTGTGTGTGGGTTGTTATTTTAGTAAACTTTTAAATTATTATATGATGAAATGAGGTTTCCTGTACATTCCATTTTTATATGTACCCACTTAAAATGTAGGTGCCTTTCTGAAATGCTAATTCATAAATCATGAAACCACAAGACTTCTAACCAGCCTTTTTATGTGTCATTTCTGTCTCGAGTCTTAGGAAATATCCAAGATGATGTTGCAAGGATGAGACAGTGTATTATTGAGATTAAACACATTCAATTTTCAGGCTTTTCGTGTTAGACTTAGAATTAATATTTACCTAAAGACCCAAATGCTATTGTGTAATTAGCCTGTTATTTACCACTGTGCTATTCTCATGTTACTCTCGGACATAAGCAACTTCCCCAGCACAGAGTGTCATTTCTGCTTTGTCTGGGTCAACTATCTCTCAGCTCATTTTGGAGAACATTTGAAATCAACACCACAACACCGTTTTGTGAAGTCAATTAAAATATAATTACCTATTCTTTATACCATTTCCCCTTTATCTTCGGATGACTGATTTGGTAAGTTTTTTTTTTCCTATTTATCAAATACATGTGATGTAATGTTTTACTTAAAGGTGTATTGTGTAAATTTTCTGGTGGAGGGTCCATCAAATGCTTTTCTCCATGGAGATGTTATTGCTTTCTCTGGCATGTTTCACAGTATGATATTATACATTTCTAGATTCATGAAGACCAAATCAGACCAAGTTACAGGTCAGATCTGTGGAGAGGCATCCCTGCTCACAGTCAGAATGCGTTTTTTTTTTTTGTTTTTTTTTTTAATGTGTTTTTCACTCTTAAAACCATATGTAATTTAAGAAATTTAAAGAATGTCATACTGTGCAACATTCCAGACAGAGCAATTACATATCTATAGAAACCAGAAGATGACAGACCCCCAATCAAAATGTTACATAGTGCAGCTTTAAAAGTGGATAGTAAATGTTTTTATGATATTAGATAACCAAGACTGACTTACATTTCAAGATTACATAGTGTAGTAATAAATCGGTTTTGTTTAATGCAATCCAACTTTTGTTTTTGTTTTGTTTTTTTTAGATCTATGTGTGTTATCTTGGTTCAAAAATGGGAACAATCGTTTTCTTCAGTGCCATGTTTTTGTCAGGTAAACAACATATTCTAGTGAGTTTAAAAAGTTTAATTATTTGTACCAGGATAGAGCTGTGTAATATCCAATCTCAAATTAATATCAAATTAAATGGCAAGTTTTACTACATGAAGTTATTACTTTGCCTAGAATGTCCCACAGCATTAAACTTATGATCATGGATCAGGCCAATTACATACCTGTGGTGTGGATGTAATTTGCATTGTATTTTCTTGTGATAAAACCTAAAAACCAAATCCTATGTAAATAAATTTAATGTCATGCTGTGGAACATTCAAATTGATAATCTGTATTAAGAGTGAATTTCTGTGAGATAAATAGTTATTATCTCATCTTATTTTACGGATCTTTTCCACAATATTTAATTTCATTCAACTGTACATTTTAAACTTCATATTACATGGAAGCATCACTGACTTGTTCTTTTTAAAATGTTGAATTGTATTTTCAGGTGTGTGGGCCGATTGTGTGAGGAATGCTAAACTGCTTGTTAATGCGCCAACAAAAGAACTGAAAGCATTGAGTGGGTCCTGTTTAGAAATCCCATGTACTTTCAGAGCTGAAGGACAGACTATGGACACCTCAAAACCAATATACGGTGTATGGATTAAATCTGATCCCAGAATTAAATTTACAAATAACATTATCTTCAACAGCAGTGGGGCAACCACAAGATATCCCATGAAAATTATTGGAAACATGGCACAGAAAAACTGCACTACGATGTTTTCAAATCTGACCACGCGACACACAGATAAATACTTCTTCAGGGTTGAGAATGAGGCTTTCAAGGCAACTGCGTCCTGCCATATCATTCAAGTCACTGTAAAAGGTAAGAAGTGGTTGGTTATATTATGTTCCTTTTTTTGTTTTATTTACTGTAATGGATCACTTAGAAACTAAATTACTCATGTGGAAATGTTTTGAGGTATCGTAAAATGTTATTTCTCAAAAGGTGAAAGGTAAAGATAAAAATAAAATCTCTGGCTTTTAGTAGTTAGCAAGGAATGAGAAACTGGAAAAGATGTATCTAAAATCTCACCAGTATCATATAAATGCAATGTGACTGTCTCTTTGCCCATAGGCACAATGGTAATTTAATGCCACCAACTTTTCAATTTGTTGGTCAGTGTTTTGCCAACTAAGCTACTATGGATATGAATTTGTTGTTTAAGTTAATAATCTGTAAATACTTAGATATTAGCATTAGTTAATATTGCATGAAAGTAGTGAGTTTTTCCAGGGAGCTTGCACTGGTGATATAGTGACCATTTATATTTCGTATTATTATTATTGACCAGTATTAAACCGGGTAAATCAGCTGCATACATAGAGTAAATTATATGATGTCTCCAGCAATATACCCTGCTTTAATAATGATAAATAAAGATACTTGGCTTGATGGAGTCACTTGTCTCCATGAAGATGTGTTTGATGGCATTTAGTGGAACATTTCAGGCAAAACAACATCTTTATGGAGGATAGAGGGTTTTGAAACCTCCATATAAAAAGTAACTGAGTGTCTGGATTGAGTATTGATTTGTTTGTGGTTTGCTGTTTTTTGTGTGTAAACCCACAGACTCCTGGAGCCCCATAATTCAAATCTCTGGTAAACAGACAGAGACAGAGGTGGTGACTATAACCTGCACAGCTGTCACTCCCTGTCCACATGCCCCTCCTCAGCTCACATGGGACCCCCACCAAGGCACTCGCCACATCACAGAGACCAACGCAGACGGGACATTTACCACTAAAATAACGCAGAAGGTGACTTTAACACACTCTGATGATGGACGCCAGATAAAATGTACTGCTGCGTATCGTATCAATGGAAAGATCAAGATGGCTGCAAATACAATCAAGCTCAATGTTACATGTAAGTCTACCACACACATTGGCAGATTGTGCAGATGTACTAAAGTAAAAGTAATTCAGATTAGATAAAGGAAGTAGTAAAGTTACCTCAAAGAGTCACTGAAATGGAGAAGAACGTAATGAGATATATCTATAAAAGGATGTCATGATTAATGTTTTGAAGATTTGCAGATTGAATGCTTTTATTATTTTAAACTTGATTGTGACACAGTAATCTTGAAATTCTTACCCACCAAGTGTAGAGTGAATAAATAATGTAATATTAAAGGTGCACTATGTAACTTTTCTGGTAGAGGGTTTGCTTACATTGTCTCCATGTTGGTGTAGTTCCTTTGCTTGGAATGTTTCACAGTATGGGATTAACCTGAACTGTGTCCATGAAAACAAGCAGGAGATGCCACCATACCGAGATACTGGTCAGATCTGTGTAGGCCAGGGGTGTCAAACATACAGCCCAGGACGCCGGATCCGGCCCTCCAAGATCTTTAATCTGGCCCTCAGCTGATTTTCTACTAAAATATTTTAATTATATTTTCTATTAAAATATTAGTAATTTTCTGCACCGCTTAGCATAGCAGCGTCTCCAGCGCCTCTGTGCATGGCCGCCTCCCACCAGAGCAGGCACAAATGAAGACTTGCCTCTTAAAGGACTATCATTTTGACTGTTGACCGTGACACCCTCATCAGCAAAATGTCAAAAATGAGAAAAGTGGATGCCGAGTTCAGGATTTTCCAAGAAAAATTGACTTATTGCTATTTGTTTTTGTTAAAATATTGTGTTGAAATTGCATTTTTCTTAATGTTTCAGGTTGTTCATATAATATTATAATATTTTGTAAAAGAAAGAGTTCATCAATTAAAAAAGATTTCTGTAATAGATTTGCGTTTCTCTGCACAAATATTTGAAGTTATTGCTATTTTTGGGGTATATATGCGGGTATATTTTTTTTCCCCAGACCCTTTGGGATCAAAGTAGTTTGGATATGGCCCGCGGACCAAAATGAGTTTGATACCCCTGGTGTAGAGGATGGCCCGCTGACTGTAGGTGTGCATGGTTTTTAAAGCAATAAAAACACCCATAATTTAATGAATGGAAGATGGAAACGTTTAATGCTACACTGTGACCCATTTCAGACAAAGTAATACCATCGTCATGGAGAAAAGCAGGTGGCAGACCCTCTACCCAAAAAGTTACACAAGGCAACTTTAAGCGTTTGAGTATGAGTATATATAATCTAAGACAGTGGTTCTGAAGCTCCTAAACTACTGATCTAAGACATTATTAACATAAAACCCATGTATCATTAGATTTGATTAATGTTATTGTCATCATCAGGTAAAAAACAACAAAATATTATAGGTTTTACATGATCTGTGTGATTTAACAGCTATTGGATAAAAGTTGTTGTTCAGTCCCAGGGTGGGAGTGGTCTCTGTGGATGTGTTATTCATTTGTTGTTGGTTTTTAACTCCAACTGTCCCTGTACTTCTTCAGATGGTCCTAAAGACACCTCCTTTGAAGTCAGTCCGTCGGGTTCGCTGTCAGCAGGTCAGTCAGTGACACTGAGCTGCTCCAGCAGAGCCAAACCTCCTGTCCACAACTTCACCTGGTTCAGACACAGCTCTCAGGGACCAGCCAATGTCAGCCAGAGACACACGTACAGCTTCAACTTCAACGAAGCTTCACATGGAGAATATTACTGCGTGGCCTGGAATAAAGTCGGAAAACAAACATCTCAAATGATCCATGTGGGCCCTGGAGGTAACACAAGAATTTTATTTAAAGGCACTATGTAACTTTGCTTTCTTTTCATTCAAGTGTTTGTATTGCCCAGAAAACCTGTAACTTGACCATGTGACATTACCTTACATTGTTGCATATTTGTCTCTATGGTGATAGATAAGTTTAACTACTCTAAATCAGGGGTCTCCAACCTGTAGCTCAGGAGCAACTAGTAGCGCTCCACCTCCTTCCAAGTAGCTCACCAAGGGATTTCAGAAGTATACGTATGATGCAAAATAACTCAAATTGATTAATTACTTGACTATTACCAAATGTGTCTAACTCTGTGCAGTAATAAGTAGATAATGGTTTATGTTGTATAGGAGTCTAACTGTACCCCATCCATGGCTTGCCCTGTTTTTTATATCATTTTTTGCAACTGCTAAAATTAGTAGATCTCTGGCATTTTTGTTTTGTAAAAATAGCTCACGAGAGGAAAAAGGCTAGAGACCCCTGCTTGAAATACTCTGGAACTTTCCAAGTAAAACAATAATATCTCAGTAGATCGGGAACAGACCCTGCACCAACATAGTGCACCTTTAATATCCATGCATATACTTATGTTGGTTTGCATTAGGAAGCATAATGGTGAAGTGACTAAGGCTAACCAGATATAACCAAACCTGTATAAGAACCTTTAAAATTAAACCTTCTATACATTTTAATATATGTTTTTAAAGCTAAATTATACAGTGAATGCCGAGGATAGGTCAATAGGAAGTCTAACTAACTAAAGCCTTGTCTTAAAGGTTCAATATACATTTTTAATATTATTATATTTTAAAATAAAACTAAAACACTGTTGCTTAGTATCACCCCAATAGCTGAATCAAGTCATGCCATCATACCACAGTTCTATGATGATAATAATATAACTACATGGATGTAGTCTGTATATAGTGAAATGTCCTTATAAGGCAAGTGTAAATATTGTTAAACTGAAACCAAAGAATCAATTTATTTTTTATTTTTTTAGCATCCTTGTTTGCATTGTTTTGAGTAATTTAGACACTAGGTCATAAAATTACTTTTATTATGGGAAAAAATAACCATTGATAGCAGACGCTTAGATTTGCATTAGCCCAATATGTAAATTAAAGAGAAAAGCCATAAAGCAAGTCTTTCATCTGCACAATATGAAGTCACAATATCAAATTTTTACATTACAATTATTACACAAAGAGACATCACAGTTTAATGATTATTTACAATAACTACTACCATGACCAAACAACAGTGAAATCCTAAATTTTTGCTTAGTTATCCCATTCTGCCATAGATCAGCTTTCCTCTAACCATCTCTATGAAGTCAGCTGATATAATAAAGTTAATGTGCCATGATCAGAAATAGTAGAGGCTTATTGGTCCTATGTAAACAGCCACTACGGTTGAAGGTGTAGAGAAGTATTTAAGTCTTTAAGCGCGTATCTTCACAAATATCTAAAAAAGTCAACTTGTTAGTAGTTGAAATTTATTTATTCGGCTCATCTTTGCCACAATAACACAGTGGAACATGTACAGACACTACCAAAAATCATATGTCTCTGCACCTTCTAACACCACGTGCCAATTTCCTGCCTCATTTTACCTGGGTCTCCACTCTAAACACCCCAAACATCTAAACCACAGTGCCCCCACTGGGATTTTGCTTCTATAACTGTCACAATTATAGATTTTTATTACTTGCAATTATGTTAGATCATTACAGTTATCAATATGCCTGATTATCTTGAAACCCCTCTCCTAATATGTTCTTCAATCTGCTTTTGTGTCTATGGATCTCAGGACATTTGGATTCATAATGTTACAGTTAACAGTCTCGTAGCAAAAGGCTGAACAATTTGGAACAAAAAATATCTAATGCTGATTTTGTTCAAAGTTAATTCTGTTCAAAATTCTAAACTTATCCAGAAGAATTTACATAAATATTGACATATGAACTGACAAACTAACACAAGAATCACATCACAGAAAATGTTTGTACAGATCTAAACAACAGGAACAGTAGTCAACTTTGTTCCCATAACTTTTTAGCTACATTTTACTATCTGCCCTGTGGCCACCCATCCTATAATTCTTTTTAAACTAGTAGGTTATTTCTGAACAATATGCAAAGCAGTGTCATTTGGCCTTCACTGGAACAGTCCTGTCCAAAGAGTTAAACCAAAAACAGCCACACACACACATCATTTTCATATTTGAATACAGTGCTTACCAAATGTTGAAGCACACAGAACAGACACATTTTAAATATGATAATGTTTTGTTTTTATAGGAGTAAAAGCAGCCAGCAGCTCGTCCCGGTCTACAGCCATAGCTGGAGGAATCATTGGGATTATTCTGGTTGTAATTGTCGTTTTGGTAAAACCATTCACAAATGTTCACATGGGCCCACTTCATATCTATGTATATTGTATTTGTTGTGTTATGGTGTTTTTTTGTTTCTTTCAGGAGATTCAAGTTAAAACGCAAATCCTCCCAGCAGACAAGAGTAAGAGACGACATGATCTATTAGTTCAAGTTAAAAATATCTTTAGCTGATGTTTTGCTTACTGTGTGAGTTAATATTGACTCACAAAAGCTTGAAAATGCCTTAGTCATTAAGGAAGTGCTTTGCCAGCTGTATTTTTGTGAAAGGACTAATTTCTAAACATCACTTTTTGTAATAACACATCAGTTTTGATGTCTTATTAACACAATCTAAACATAAGTGTACTTTTCGTAGTAGAATTAACAACACACAATTTCTTTATTGCTAATATTGGCCTGTACTATACTTTTGTTTCACATTTGTTTCACTTAAGAAACACATCAGTTATAAAAAATAAAAGGATTTTTTTTTCCTTAGTTACAATGATTAAAACACTGAAATACAACAGTTTATAAAAGAAGAATTAAATGTTTAATGTGAAATATAATGGGATACTTCAGGGGCAAGTATTTATAACATTGTGGTGGCTAAAATCTGTATATGACTTTATTATTGAATCAACAATATGCTAAAAAAAAAAAAAAAAGTTCAGATATGGTTTAAGTTGGTTATGGTTGTGGTTTAGATTAAGGTTAGGTCAGTGGTGAGTATGGTTAAGGTTAATGAAATGTAAATGAATTAAATGTTAATGTAATGTCCCTAAAAGCATAGAAACGCACTGTGTATGTATATGTGTGTGTTGCTGTGCGTGTAAATGAGAAGTATTGTGTATTTCAAGCGTAATGCAGTTTCTTCTTTTCCCAGAGTCTCACAACTGCAGGCATACCAGCAGAGACAAATAAATGTGGTGAGGTCAATTATGGTCAGATTGACTTCTCCAAATTCCCCCATGAGTCAAAAGGGCAACCAGTGCAGGGCAAGAACCAGGAAACGGTGTACTCTGCGGTAAAAGTATCCAACATGGCCGACGGCAGTTGTATCTATACTCCAATAAAGAACTAAGTGTTGTATAAATACTGTATATATGATTTAATATATGCCAATTGTATGTAGAGACATTTACACCATCTCATATCAATAAAGGAATATATAACACTTTTATGTGTATTTTGTTTCAGTTAAATAGGCACTTCTTGTTGCTTTGGTTTACTTAGTCAACATTGTATATAAATAATAATGTGCATATTAGAGACTATTCACATTTTTAAAATTATTATTATTATTGTAAAATCAGATTAGATTAACATAATACCGGTAATTGCATTATTGTTACTTGATTGTAGGCTATTACTCCACATTATGTGTGTCTCATGTTCACCACTTGATGACGCTGTCACTGATTATTTTACACTCCTTTCTTAACGGGCTTATAACATGAATCATGATACAACACAGTGTGCAAACAATGGTAATTTAAAAAAAATATATATATAAGTAAATGTTAATATGACATTCACCTAATCTGTATAACTCTGCATGTTTCCTTGTTTAGTTTATTATATTAACTACTTTATCTTCTATTAATACCATCTCTAATGTACAATTTACAAAATAGAAAATATCTTTTGGCTTATATTAAAAAAAAAACAAATATGAAAACTGAGTCCACAATGTTGAAGTATACATGCACCATATATAACCCAAAACATGCACCATATGTCCAGGAAGAACAGCTGATAGCTAATGGAGGTCAATTAAAAAAGTTAAACTAAATACTGTATTACTCAACTTTATCATTGTGTTGCTCTATTTCGTGGTTTCTTTGTTCTCTACAAAACCAAATGGACTCCAAATTGTTGTGTGAAATATAAAAGTTGTTCTGACACAAGTGAAAAGCTCTTTGCTCATCTAGAGGATTTTGTTTGCGGCCTATCTTTATATATCTGTATTTTTAAAGTCTCCATAAATGTTCCTGTATTAACTTATCACACAACAAATATACAAATGCATTTAAATAAAACAATAACATTTAACATGACATAATATTTTTTTCATATGAAACAAACTAACAAATAAAATGCAGAGTATTATGTTGAGTCCACAGAGTTACAGTATTTCTTATCTAACTTTTTTATTTGTGGTTTTGTCTGTCTTTCAGATGAGTACAAAACTGACAGCAGTTACTGTGTGAAATAAAGAAGTTGATCACTCAAGCCATTTTTACTCCACACATTTTAATTCAGGAGAGGAGCTGTAGGTTCTTCAGTACTCAAGTCTGTTCTAGTTATATATTCAAAGATTAGCATCATTGAGCAAACCTTTTCCTTGAGCTTTACTTTTAACTCTTTATTTTTTATTGCAGATTCTTCCCTTTGGAAATATGTTTATTCAAATTATACTAATCTTACTGCTGTGTTCAGGTGAGTTAAGATTGTTTTAATATTGATATAGTCTATATGTAACTTTTGACTACACAATAATTTTGCTTTATATTATAACAATAAATGGAGTTAATATGATAAACTGAGATTCAAGAGCTGGACCACAGCTCAACCTCCTCTCCATCATCGTCAAGGGGGGTGACCATTTTGGATTGGAGATTATATCCCCACCTCTCCAGCCATCACCTCTATCCACTATCAA